GGAGAAGGAAAACGGCTTCAGCAGAACCTAATCTTGAGGGCCCAGGCCAGGACCCCGTTTAGATGGTGGGATGGGCTGCTTCATCTTTGGAGATTCCTGGATCAGTTCGCACCTTCTAAATGGGCGGAGGGAAGGCAGGAGAGTATTAGGTGTTGGCTGTCGTTCAGATGCCAGGATTCACGTATGGCTTTCAGCCTCTGCTGCCACCTGTCCTGTGTTTGATGTAAYGAGACCCTGGGCCTGCCGAGTACTGGGGAAAATAAATGGATTTTAAAGCACTCTGGGGAGCCAGGTATATRTGTATATGTAGAATTGGTTATTGCTTGCTAAAAATCAGGAGGAAGTACAGGGCATGGCAGAGGAAGGATAACAAAATCCTGCTTTTCACAAACTACTTTTTTTCCTCCCTACAAATGTTCTGATAGCGAGGAGACTTTCCTGCCTAGCAGGTGCTCGAGGCAAGAGCTAAGTTTATCAAGTGAGTCTGCACCTTGCCAGTTCACGTAACATTCTTGTTGCCTGAAAAAAAGAAATTGGACCATGTTTGGTAACTTTATAACCACTTTAGTGGCAATTTCCCTGTTGAAAAAAGCCCTGTTGGGGATTTTCTTTCCCAGCAGCGGCTCCTCTTTCGGGTGGTAACGGGAGCTGCGAGTTATTTACAGTAGGGAGCAGCAGGTGACAACCCAGGCCAAGGAGACCGCAACTCGGAGGTGGGCAAGAGCCAAACGCCGCCTCCGTGAAAGGGAAGGAGATCCAGAGCCTCCGGAGCAGCCCCAACTCGGTCACCTTTGGAACGGGAGCTGCGTCCCAGGCTGGAGGGGGCCTTAGAGCCAGGTGCTTTTGTGCACATTTCCCGTGGGGCGATTGTGCCCCGAGTAGTGTTTCTGGAAAACCGGTTGCACGGGGATCGTGGAAGAGGAAGGCCGGGGGGCAGGAACACGTTCTGGGAGGCAGCCCGCCCGCGCCGCCTTGGTGTGGCCGCCGCTCGGCCGCAGCCGCCTCCGTCCCCGGCGGCGCCACAAGATGGAGCCGGCCGCCCCGCGGGACTACGCGCCCCGGCATGCCCCGCGCAGGCAGCAAAATGGCCGCCAGCGCCGCGGAACTACGGCACCCATCATGCACAGCGCCACCACCCGCCCAGCGGCTGCGCCAGCACAGCAATATGGCGGCGCGGACTACAACTCCCGGCGTGCCGCGCGGCACGATTAGGCCGGGGCGCAGGGAGCCTCGGGAGCCCGCGGCCCGAAGGGGAGGAGGAGCCGGGGGCGGCCGCTCGAGGCTCCCCGGCCTCCGCGCCCACCGCGAGCGTGGGAGGCTGCAGGAGAGCGCGCAGGGAGCCGCTGCACACGGCGTGCCCTGAGGCCGCGCCTGGTGCCCGGGGCCACAGGGGCGCCTCTAGGGCCCCCCGACCTGATGCGCATGGAGGCCCGGAAAGGTTGAAAAAACAAAAGCAGAGGAGCCCCGTGGGGGCCGCACGAGTGTGTGCTGCAGCCGCGGGGCGGCACGAGCGCCCGCCGGGCCCCTCCGGCGCGGTGC